ATAAATCAGACCTGGTACCACTTCACTGTAAATCAGACCTGGTACCACTTCACTATAAATCAGACCTGGTACCACTTCACTGTAAATCAGACCTGGTACTACTTCACTATAAATCAGACCTGTACCACTTCGCTGTAAATCAGACCTGGTACTACTTCACTATAAATCAGACCTGGTACCACTTCACTGTAAATCAGACCTGGTACCACTTCACTATAAATCAGACCTGGTACCACTTCACTGTAAATCAGACCTGGTACTACTTCACTATAAATCAGACCTGGTACCACTTCACTGTAAATCAGACCTGGTACCACTTCACTATAAATCAGACCTGGTACTACTTCACTATAAATCAGACCTGGTACCACTTCACTGTAAATCAGACCTGGTACTACTTCACCGTAAATCAGACCTGGTACCACTTCACTATAAATCAGACCTGGTACTACTTCACTATAAATCAGACCTGGTACCACTTCACTATAAATCAGACCTGGTACCACTTCACTGTAAATCAGACCTGGTACCACTTCACTATAAATCAGACCTGGTACCACTTCACTATAAATCAGACCTGGTACCACTTCACTGTAAATCAGACCTGGTACCACTTCACTATAAATCAGACCTGGTACCACTTCACTGTAAATCAGACTTGGTACTACTTCACTATAAATCAGACCTGGTACCACTTCACTGTAAATCAGACCTGGTACCACTTCACTATAAATCAGACTTTGTATTACTCATTATAGTGCTATAACAATGTGGTAAATACTCGCTATAAAAAACAATGACATGCAGTCGCTTGAAAAGGGTTAAACCGCAGTCCCTGTATCACCGGTCTGGAAACGGTTACTAGTATTGTTCTAGGTCACGGTGTTAATCTCAATTTTCTCTGGCCAACACGGCTAGCGACTTTTCACGAAGCATACAGTCATTCACAGTCAGCGCCGGTCGCCATTTTGTGATGTGTACAGTCATGATTCACTTATAAACTAAGCATTTTAACCAGGTTTTTGAAGCCAACAATAATAGTACTGTTCACTATTCATGATTAATTTTCGCATTTCTGCAACTGATGAGTAAATTTCGTAGTGACAATTCGTGCGTTTCTCAAAAATGTCCAATCCCAGTCAGAGATGCAGTGAAATATTCTCTTTTTCGGTATATATATTTTCACGTGAAATGTTAACTTGGTGCGATTTATCAGAACTAATATTGGAAATTAATTATGAAATAAATGAAACCAATGAAATACGTCTCGTATAGCCAGTACAAGCATTATTTCAACAGCAGCCTGCTTACTACACTCTGTTGATAAGACATTTTTACATTTAAGATACTCAAGTGCAAATAAAGCCGACTCTCGATCGTTAGTGTTGTTGTATGCAAATTACTACTTACTACGTCATCAGCGTGTAAGTTTCAGCTACGTTATATACTTTCAATGGGAGTACAGTGTACACACACTGGAGCAGGTCGTTCGCATACTAGTAACACACTGTACGACACGGGCGACACCACCGTTAGCTATCCTATTCTATGAAGTAACAGGTATTCGTGGGAATTAGAATATTTTGCTACCACTCAGAAAATATTTTATTTGAAGAAGAGACTTCGACAGGTGACGGTAGACTACGTACATTGGCGTGCCCATAAGTCCTCATAGTAGATAGCTTATCACCTGTCAGTCGCCGTTAGATCAGCACAAGAGCCTTTCAACATATATTTAGTACGGTATGTCGAATCCTGCCCGTGCACCTGCTGCTAAGCAACGGTTTCGAAGGTAAGAATTCTCAATTTACAATTGCTACAGTGTGGTGTAACAGGTGGCAGTGGGTCCCCGGTACGTGCTGGCGACACGATGAGCGGTAAAGCGTAGCAGGCGGCGTAGTCCGGTATCTCGATCGCTCACTGAAATGACTCGATCGAGTTGATATCAGTGAAACGTAAGAATTTTTAACTAAATATATAAACAAACTAATGGATATGGCCATTATAGCGTTCGTCGATTCCTGGTTGTCTGTATAATGTGAATCGATCTAATGTCTCTTTGATAAACAAATTTGCAATGTTTGCATGTTATGTGCGTAGATTGGTAACCTGTAAGAACGCAGACACCGCAAAACACAACGCATTGTTAATAGTTACTCGTATTATCTGGATGTTATATTTCAATAAAAATTCAATTATATCACTTCAGCAATTAAAATATAAACTGCGACATTGTAATTAATTCATCCGATGGCCCTCGTATATCGTTGCCATGGATATGGTGAGCAATATAAATGTGCCAATAAATCGATTAAGTCACGTATTCTGTGTTATGTATACTAAGTACAAGCATTTTTAGACTATGTAAACACAGGTCAAGTCTGCAATGTGTTTGCTTAAAATCCATGGTACATCAGTCAACAGTATATATCAACTCACGAATAACCCTCTAATAAGTTCGTAAAATAACGTGTCACGTGTTCCTATCTCACTCGATGGTCAGTTTGTATGGTTTGCGGTCTGTTTTGTATCATTCTCATAACTAAGCTGTCCATTGCTTGTGGATTTCCTGCAATGTACCCGACAACGCAACATAATACCATTGGTTTTTTTTTAACAATGCATAGTACATTGCAGCACTGAATAGATCATTTATTAGTTATGTACATTATTTATTTTAGTGTTAATAATAAAAGATGACAAAAATTGGACTAAAAAACAGTAGATTAAACAGTTGTTCACAGAGACTTCTTTTATTGTATACAATTATTCAATACGTACTGTCTTGAGATAGCAGTTTGCTGGCAATCGTTAGTAAGACACCGCTGTGTGTTGTTGACTATCATCCAGACGTTGGAGGTTGCGTGTTAAAATTCACCTCGAACGTTTTCAAGTTATCCTATAAATAAGGACGTGATGATGCCATTGCTACAATTAACACTTCACGTAACAGTCAGTCTCGAAGAGTGTAATGCATAGTGAAGGTTAATTGAGATGTTTATTGATAATAATGCAACAAAACTTTAACAGTGATGACGATGAAATTGATCCATTAAAAAATAACACAGGCTGGCTTTCTTTGACATGCGCAGATACATGCCATGAATTTGTATTGCCGATGTTTGAGATGCATCTCACGGTAGATTTACGACGTGTCAGCAACAACTTGACACGCGAACTCGCTAAAAGTAATTAAAATGAATGCAAGAGAATCTGGCGAAATAATTCTAGAATTACGACTGTATTAAGCGTGTTATGTGTTGTCGAAGCCGACTGTTGATTATTATTGAATATAGGCATAAGTACATATACAGCTTTGTGGATCAATATAATACTCGATAACCATGGTTTAAAGCATTTTCGCCGGTTTCCGTTTCCACTCTTACTATTATCGTTCTGCTGTCACATAGAAACGACGGTAACGCATTATTTTGATAACGTTTTTTTATGTGAATCTGGAACAGTTCTCATATTAAACTGGGTTCGCGCTCACGAGTTGCTGCCAGATAGTGAAGTAACTACAATGCAGCACAACGATGGATCGTATAGTATTGTCAATCCGGAATGCTAATACTGTCATGCATTGTATAACAACACTTTCGTTGATTTCAACATTATATTTGAAAATATATCGGCAAAATACGTAATCAGTAATGTTTTCAAAGTCGCGTTTCAACTGTTAATTTCACGCGCATTGTAGCTAATTTTAAACTCTTATCTGCTTCATTTCATTTGCCATTGTTGTCACCTTAATAGCCCATCACGTGGTTTCACGGTGAATGGTTTTGACAGAGACGCTACATGTGCAATGCAACAGGTGTATTCAAGTATACATACAGTAAAATCATTTCTGTTTCTCGCCGTTGTTTGCACAGTCAGTATCGCACTAACTGAGATAATCACTGCTATCTATCTACACAGTACCTACTAAAGTGACGTCATGTCATGTAGAATGATTGATTCCTAGTTCTGAAGTGTAGCAATAATTCTATCGTCCTCAGACATCTACATATTGTCTATTTTTAGTTCATTATATGTGTGTGCTTTAATCGTAGTTTTATAAGTGTAATAGTTTTGTTTTGTCGTAATTTTATTCAAGTATGGTATGGTATTTGTATTCATATTTATTTTTTGTTGATTGCATTTGTTGTTGTGTTTATTTATATATTTCATAATATTGTATCTCATGTACTGAATGTAATTGTCACGGGTAACAATGACTCGTCCAATGTCGACTGGAATACAAACTTTCTCGCTGCCAGAATTTGATCCCATCAACTACTGGCCATTTCCTTAATATAATAGTTTTGTTGTTAATTACAAACAACGCCATCCTATAGCAACATGAATGCGAGGTTCTGTGGATTCATGCAATCATCACCTAAAAGGACATTGAAAATCGTCGGTTTCATTGTTTGTTTCATCGGCCGGCATTTGTTTCACTTTCTTGTGTTCTCACTTTAATTACATTTTCTGTATTTGTCTATTGAAGTCAATACAACACCCTGACGCTAACAATACACACATATCGGCGTACTGTACACACCCATTGACACGCTGCATCTGTACTCAATGAAGCGTAGTAACCATCAACGCTGTGTCAACTAAGTTGCGACGAAACTAACGCCGCTGTTATTGTTTACTTTCAGTGAAACATCTAAGCAATACTGAGAAAAGTCACGTAATTCGAATCACCATAGCAACACCCAAATGCTCAATTTACACTTTATTTATGCTCTTTAATATCGGTGTAAACATTTTGACAAATCGTCTTGTCTAACGCCCCGAGATATGTTTTCTTTGGTTCAGTCATAAACGCGTAGTCCAGTGTAATGCGTACATCATAGAAATGCCAACGTAGCAGACAATGCTCCGTCGTGGGTAACACGTATCTAGCATTGCAATATGATTACGTTTTGCGGGTCCGTCTGACTTCTTCAAGAATTTCTGCTATTATTGCTAAGAGGAGACTTATTACGGCATAGCGTTGTCTAGTTACCAAGCTATTATGTCCTAACTGTCGCGGTGATTTACAACGTGCGCTGGACATTGGAGCTGAATGACGTAAGTGATCGACACCAACCAATACTGCTAGAACACTGAAAGTCACATATACACTGGACACGGTGTGAATCCGTCAACCTTCTGCAACATAATAATCAGTATGTTGATTTCAGCTTCGGGTTGTCCACTGTGTTTTGGCTAGTTAGATTGAGACATGTTTGTATTCGATAACTACGGTTATCTTGTTTTAAATACCATACATCGTGATTGGATTATTCTACCCATAGTATATGATGGTCTATGGATGAATTGAAATGAACTGCATATACATTCGTATAAAATTACAAATATTCGTGTATTTTTTTCCAAATAATATCCATCTTCATTTTGTATCGCGTAAGTGTTTATTCCATGTACACTGAATTCCAATTTCAATAAAGAACCGAGAATGTACGTTTTGAGTACCCAAAGTTTTCTGAACAAATCGATAATTAATGTTCTCCGTGTTAGTTCAGACAGTCCAATTATAGGCCACCCTGACATCAACTCGCGCCCTATTGTTTCTGAGCCGATGGAAGGTGTGTTCATGAATTCAAAAGTTGATATATTCGAGGTGAAACAAATTTTTAAATTAAAAAAGGCACATGATGGTCAATCACAATATGATGGATCATTCACAAGATAGTCAGTATGATACATTTTAAATTATATTCTCAGAAATATTAGTTTAACGTTTCAAATATAGACATATCAGATTACAAATTAGTGTTAATATTTACACTTAATCGCTTAATTGGTTGATCCAATTGATTGGCTCTCAGCGTTTGTGCTCAGAGTGATGTATTAATAGGTAAAGAAAACAAACTGGTTACCATAGCTAACAGTCCAATGACCTCCGAATCAATACTTGCTCCTCGCTCACTCGCATATGCTATGTTATTATATATATATATTCTATGTTAGCCTCGTCCACGTGCATTCATTTATTCTGTGTATTCATCTCATCCTCGTTCACATAGTGCATAAATCAATCCCCTTCACGTCACTTACTGAGTTGCTTGATAAAACAGACTCTGTTATTCCCGATATTATTACGAAAAAAGGAAATATTCAATTCACATTTTACGTCAACGCAATATATGTACAATAATATATAATAGAATTTTACTGCTCTTCAGTCCAATTTATAAATACAACAAATATTCCATGTGTTTGCTGTTCGTATATTTGAGCCGGCTGCCTGGCAGCAAATGTTATCACCATAGCGACGGGTCAAGGAGGTCATATTTTTTATGGTTTATGTATTATTTGAATACCGCATAGTAATTTTAATAATTTAAAGACAATGTCCAGCATTATAATACCGTGAACAAGTCATTCACTGCCAACTACACACATGCAGCTCCATGTCGCACACAACCCCCAAATAACATACTGAACCAATCAACACTGTTCTGTACACATGCAGTAGTGGGAATTTGCTCACAGATATTTTGATACATTAAATAGTATTCGCAGTATAGCTTGCATAATAGAGAATATAGGAAATAACGTAGAGCATCGTGGGTATCTCTAGTTAAAGCGCGGTAGTCGTCGCGCTGCGCATGTTCGACATTTGTGTTGATAAACATTGATTTTCCCACAATCCAATGCGCTCTTCAAATGGAAATCACAAGTATGAGGTTTGACTTGGGTGCGACTTGCACTGATTACCGCCGGTGACTCCGATACCTTCCAATCACATGAAAATTAAAATTATTGTATTTTATTCTCTGTTCCATACCATCT